CCTTGTGTTGTTAGGTCAGTTAGTGTGACCAACCCATTAAAGGGGAGTTTTGTCCCTGGGAGCGTATTTTGTTTGGTTATTTTGCTTGACTCCTACCCGCTGTACCCCATCAACTAAGAGATTATCCAAGTGTCATCCAAGGACAGCGAGCGTTCTCCCATCCGCTCGGGGAGACGCGCCCGGTAGCAGTATCTCTTCTGCCCCGAGTGTGTGTGTGTGTGTGTGTGTGTGTGACCCTTTTATGACTTTTGAACGGCTTGACAGATTTCATCGCGGTTGGTGCCATTCGAAAGGGCTTGACTAAACTTAGATTTTGGATACACTTTGAACCGATTCGGACTGATAGATTTTGAGAAATCTCAAAAAAACTACAAAAAAAATTTTTTCAAATGTGGTTTCTTTGGAATAAGTTTCAAATGGCTCTACCGATCGATTTCAAAAACTAATCAGCTCTTAACATAAAAAAACCACGTCGATCGCCGCCAACTCGGTAAAAATCGGTTCTATCGTTCGTGAGTTATCGTTGTCGAAAGAAAACCGAAAAAAGTGTTTTTTTGGAATTACTTTGAAATTCTTCGTTTGATCGATTTAAACTTGAAAATCCGTTATGAGGTTTCAAAAACTGCGCCGAATGTCATCAACCGCGTGAAAATCGGTTCATTCATTCAAAAGTTATTGCGATTTGAAAATTCAAAAAATAGTGTTTTATCAAACTTCTATCAAACTTTTGAGCTCAAAGGCATACAAAAGCTATTTTTTGAGCTCGGAGAGCTCAAAATAACACAAAAATTGTACTTTTGAGCTCGAAGAGCTCAAAAACAAAATAAGTGAAATGTTGAACGTTTAGGTATGGAGTTAGCGGGAAGTTGCACGGATGGCCTCAAGGGTCAACCGTTTTCCTTATTTTTTTATAATGAAAGATACCAGTTTTTTTCATGTAGTTAAAAAAATGTAGTTGGATAAGTATTAACATGATAATTTATTAATTAAATAGCATATTTTTCATTCGAAAATATCATTTTTTCTGCAATATTATTTCGATAATTCGAACGAGATTGCATTAACCGGCACATTTTATATTCTTACTAGTATACGTTGCGCGCGCAAGCGCACGTGTGAATGTTGGTATGGAATTATCTATATTTTCATGCTTATGATATATTTGACCAATCACGTTACGAATAGTTTGCTTACATGATATATTTTCATATTTTTCATCTTAATTATAAAAGTGGATCCTCATCAGTCATCAAGAATAATTTTTTTTATACTTTGTTAGTCAACAACATATTTTTTTATTTATCGCCAATTTTAAACCTGATCATCAATTGCTAATAAATATATTAACAAGCTCTCAAACTGTGAAAGTTAATTTCTAATGACAATTATATTCAAAAAATTGGGTCGTACATCACCAGATAAATTGATGATATGCAATCGGAGTCTTTAGAATAAAAAATAAAATTAACTACTTTGAATGTTCGACCTGGATCTCTAAGACACAAGGTATGATATATCCGGCATAGAACTGCAAAATGCACTTTCCCTCAAACACACATCTTTATCGGCACATGGCGGACAAGTTTACATTACCATACAAATTGATAGTGAATACAGTTTCTGTTGAATGTTGTCTCTGTTAAGGCACCGGTTGTTAAGCGGCCGTACTCGAAGTCTTAATTGTCGTTGAATGTAGAAGGCCTTGGCATTTAAAGTCTGGTTGACTGCAGCGAGTCAAGTTCATGAGCTTGGCTTGGCTAACTATTTCCTTCCATTGCATTCATTAAATTAAAAAATATTTGTCAATTTAACACATTAGTAATTAGTATTGCTCCTGCTGTTATGATATTATTATATATATAAATATGATTGACCACAAATGTCAGATTAAGATAAAGATAACAAGTCCAAGATCTGTAGATTGTGATCAGACCGCATCTTTGCTACGGTGGGATTTGCAAACCGCTGCGCTAGATAATGGGCAGTGGCATAATAGAAGATAATAAAAATAAAAGGAGAACTTGGAGAGGGTAATAGGCTACTGCTTCACTGGTTGAAAAGAGATACAAACTGTCTAGTTAGATTGAAAGCAAAAGCAAAGACTTTCGTTTTATTTGTGGTAAATACTCTGATGCGCTCCTCAATACTTCTTGTCTTTTCTTTATTTATAACTAACACTTTATATTTATTTGTAACACTTAATTAATCATAACACTAATTGTTTTATTAAAATATTAGAATTGAATTCTTATCGAGCTTAAAAAGTAACTGATTGAATTTAATACTCCACAGTAAAAAATAAATTTTTCTGATTTAATAGAAATGTTCTTGGTCCAAGAAAAAAATTAATTTGAAAAGAGAAAATTGTTTATCTTCAAACTGATTTTTAACTTCCCGCTAAGAAAATTGAAAATTTTCAAAAATCGGGAAGTTATTATTTTTACCTCGTATTTCGAAAATCGAGTTTTGATCAGATCTCGACGTTTTGAGGTCCTAGGAAGCTTCCTTGACTATTCGCGCGATGGTGTCTGTACGTCTGTATGCATGTATGGATGTGAACGGCTTGACCGATTTGATCGCGGTTGGTGCCATTCAAAAGAGTTCGACTAAACTTAGATTTTAAATACAAGTTGGACCGATAGATTTTGAGAAATCTTAAAAAAAACTGCGAAAAAAAATTTTTCCAAATGTGTTTTTTTTTGAATAACTTTCAAACGGCTCGACCGATTAATTCCACAAACTAATCAGCTCAACATAAAAAAAAACAACGTCGATCGCCACCAATCTGGTCAAAATCGGTTGATTCGTTCGTGAGTTATCGTTGACGAATGAAATCGAAAAAAAGTGTTTTTTCGAATTACACCGAAACTTTCGGTCTTACCAATTTGTGTTTAAAAATGTATCATAGAATTTGAAAAACTGCGTCGAATGCCGCCAACCTTGTGAAAAACGGTTCATTCATTCAAAAGTTATTGCGGTTTGAAAATTAAAAAAATAGCGTTTTATTAAACTTCTATCAGACTTTTGAGCTCAGAGAGCCCAAAACTACATGAAAATTATATTTTTGAGCTCAAAAACTTAATAAGTGCAATTTTGAGCGCTTAACTTCGAAAGTAGTGGGAAGTTGCAGGGATGGCCTTCAGGGTCAACCGTTTTTCTAATTTTTAACTTCCCGCTAAGAAAATTGAAAATTTTCAAAAATCGGGAAGTTATTGTTTTTACCCCGTTTTTCGAAAATCGAGTTTTCATCAGATCTCGACGTTTTGAGGTCCTAGGAAGCTACCCTGACTATTCCCGCGATGGTGTCCGTGCGGCTATACGTATGTGTGTGTGTGTTGTTTTTTTTTTGATTTTTTGGCTTTGGGGGGGGGGGGGAATCCTTTTTACGGACTCTTTTGAAAAGTTTTGGTTTTACCTCGTTTTTCGAAAATCGAGTTTTCATCAGATCTCGACGTTTTGAGGTCCTAGGAAGCTACCCTGACTATTCCCGCGATGGTGTCCGTGCGGCTATACGTATGTGTGTGTGTGTGTTTTTTTTTATTTTTTCTTGGGGGGGGGGGGGAAATCCTTTTTACGGACTCTAGGCATAGCTATTTGGCCTGGATATGTGGCGACTCGACGCAGCGTCATACTAAAACTCGACGCTGATGCCCCTACCCACTCAACCCTAAACCCCTTTCTCTTCTATCCTCTGATCCCCCATGGTACCGCCGTAAGGCATTTCTTCGCGGGGGGAGGAATTAGCTGCCGCTCTTCCTTCTGGTGGCTTAGATGTTATTTCTTCCTTCTAGATTCTGTCTTTCGCTCTTTTCCTCTGTGTGTGTGTGTGTGTGTGTGTGTGTGTGTGTGTGTGTGTGTGTGTGTGTGTGTGTGTGTGTGTGTGTGTGTGTGTGTGTGTGTGTGTGTGTAAACCTCTTATAAATTTTGAACGGCTTGGCCGATCGGACCGAAATAGGTGGCGATCCAGAGAGTATCATTGCCATTAAATCTCGTGAAAATTTGAATGGATTCGGTTAAGTAGATTTTGAGAAATCTCAAGAATAAAATTTTCCAAAAATCGTTTTTTGGAATAACTTTTAAACGGCCTGACCGATCAATTCCAAAAACTAATCAGCTCTTAAGCTTAAAAATCCACGTTGATTGCTAACAGTCCCATCAAAATCGGTTAATTCGTTCGAGAGTGATCGAAAACAAAAAATTTCAAAAAAAATGTTTTTTTCACATAACTTCGACATTTCTTTTCGGATCGTTTTTGAAGAAATAAAATAATTATAAGAGCCCAAAAAATCACGTCGATCGCCATCAAGAACGTGAAAATTGGTTGATTGGGTCGTGAGTTATCGTTGTTGAAAAAATTCGGAAAAAGAGAATTTTTCAAATTTCTCTAAGATTTTCGGTTCGATCAGTTTGTGTTCAAAAGTATATCATAGATTCTGAAAAAGTGCATGGAATACTGCCAACCGCGTAAAAATCGATACATTCATTTAGCTCGAAGAGCTCAAAAGCATATAAAAGCTATTTCTTTGAGCTCGGAGAGCTCAAAATAACACACAAATTGTATTTTTGAGCTCGAAGAGTTTAGAAACGTCGTAATTGTAATTTCAAGCGTTTAGGTATGGAATTTGCGGGGAGTTGCAGGGATGGCCTTTAGGGCCAACCGTTTTCCAGATTTTTTTTGCACGTGGATAAATCATGGATTTTTTTATATTTCATGAATAAGACTATATTAAATTAAATTCAATTATTTATTTCTTTTTATCATTGTAAGTGTGTTTTATACAATACGAGAATAATATTTCGGAAAAACTTCGTTTAATGTTATACAAAATCCACTCACTGTTTTTTAAGACTAATTATTAATGAAGAAATTTATTTAAAATCATTGATTATAAAACTTTTTATTTAAATGTATTATTTGTTTAAATCTTACGCTCAATTAATTAATTTAATTTTTTATCAAACGAAGTCGCAAAAATAAATTTAAGGAGTCGTGACACGACTCATGCGATTTTTACACGACTTATTCTGTGTGAGCGACAGCAGCTAGCCATTCGTCTAACTAAGCCTGCAATCCGTCGGCGAATTTGAGATTTTTTGGACTTTGACTTTTGGCGTCGTTTTTTGTTCCAAGTCTGAAATTTTTTGATAATCATTTCGATAATCAGTACCAGGATTGTCCAGAAAGAGATTAAAGGGATTATAAGATAGTCATATTCGAAATACCCGAAGTCTAATTGTTCATATTCTTCTACGGCTTTGATTCTATCAATTATCTTTTTTTTCTGTAATATTCGCTTAAAAAGAGATTTTTTTCGGTGATAATTTGCGTGCCCGGTCTCGACAAAATTCATCGCAACCTCATCAAATTTATCTTTGAGTGGCCATTTTTTTCTACTTACGAATACTTCATAGTCGTTAAAATACAGGTATTTAGATAAATATATTTCATCATGTATTTTTTCAAGATTAAGATAAAAAGTATTTATAACACAAGCAGTTGAGGCATCTTTTAAAAGAATTTGTTCGCACGTTAGATAATTGAACATCTCTTTTGTATGTAAATATTTCTTATCCGAAGCATCCGACCACAGTCCTGTCGTCATTATTTCCTCATTAATTATATCATCATAGTATAGATGAAATTTGTTTTCACGCAACTGTTCTAGGGTATCGACTTGTTGACGTGTCGGCTTCGCGAGAGCAGTGGACAAATGACCCTGCAACGCGGGATTAAAAATCAACATAAACACAGTCGCGAAAAAAAAGGCCAGTTTCATTGACAGTAGGTTCATTGGGACCATTAAACCCATGTCTAACATCAACGACAACATATCTGAGAGCGTCTCGCGGAGATGATGATTGTTATTTATATAAATAACAACTAGAATCATCGTCAAAATGAAACCCGACATAGTAGCTGTCCAAATATCAAAATAACCATCTACGATTTCATCAATTACCGGTACGGTGTTTTGTTTTCGCGTTAAAATCACGTAACCTTCTTGATCGTAAAAAGCCATAACATAAGTATACTCTACGGGGATGAATTTCAACGGGATAGAGCGTGCACTCAAGTCATTTGTACCAGATTCTATTGATCGATCATACATATCATCACTTATATACGATTCTGGTGTACTGTCCGTTACGGAATGCAAAGTTTCAAACAAATCTTTATAAACTGGAGGCCAATATTCAAAATCTGGGAGCTTACCGATTAAAACATGATTTCCTCGAAAATCATAGTGATGACTTTTTATTGGAAATCTGTTCAACCGTACCGACTTGTCGAACTTGATGCTCTCACAAATCTCTGTATCTGCGCATATAAATAGAAAGGTAAATCGAAAGATGTTAAGTTAAAGCTTCAAAAATATGTAAATATACAATACCATTTACGAAAAATTGCCCGAAGATCGTCCATCTATCTTTTGAATCATCATCAATGGCCACCTGTTGCCAAGGCTCTGGAGCGTAGTTTGAAAAAGGGTTAAAGGTAAGGATCAGCGTTTTGTTGTTGATCTCATATTGACAAACGAAGAATGATGAAACAGCTTCCATCTGCCACAGTAACTTCAACACGGCTTTCGAATTTTGACATTGTGTTCCAACAATGACGAACAGTGACTTTGGGTTCCAAATTTTCGCTGATTTTATCTCACGAAAAATTTTCACCAGTGCATTGAACGACTCACCAAATAGAAGAAAAGATGGATGCCGCGGATAGTATTCCTTGATGACTTTCGATAAAAAGTGATCATCTATAACAATTATCGATGGTTCAGCAGTTTCGTTCCTTTGGATTTCATACACGATATCAATCAGATCGACAGTAACAGCCACTGGCTTCAACTCATCCGCAAAGCACATTTCGAGCAAGTGCCTCTGTTTAAAAAAAATCGATAAAAAATTACTATTTTCATTAATTACTCAAAATAAATTACCGTATTGATATGGAAATCTGGAGAAATATTTCTTGAGACACTAATATTGCCATTACACTGGACTACACTAGAAACAAACAAACATAACATAATAGTTGTCACACAGAATTTTATATTTTTCATAACGTTTGCTCTCTAGGAATTATCCCTTATGACTGACGTATCGAGTAGCTGATTTGATGATATACATTGCTAATCGATAAGGATACGTGTCCACTTGTCAGGACACCACGTATTTTTTTTCGCAGCTGCGTATTCATATTCAAGTGCTTTGCGTGATTGCAAACTTGCATACATAAGCTCTTGGGGACTTTGCTCGGTGTAAGCGAGTGTGAAAAAAAAGTATCCTTAAACAAAGGAAAACGCATTGTTTATCGATTATAAAAAGCAAAGAGACTTTCGCATAACAGGCTATATTAAATTTAAATTTAAGTGACTACTGGGCAATTTCAATTACTGAACTTTATAACATTTATACGTCTTAAAATTTTTCACAATTAATAGACCTTTCTTCAACCAAAAAGAATGATCCGCCCTCAGACATTTTAGAAGTTCAATATTTGTCGAATATTATTTTCATAATATACATTCATCTATAAGAATATGTATTGCCAGAAAATTTATTCTCGAAAAGACAATTATTATTAAAATCATACGTAAATTTGTAAAGCTGTCTCAAAGCATGTTACATTTTAATGGGGCTAAGACCAAAAACTTTAAACGTCTCCTTCTCAAGATTTTTTTTTCAACTACGGTAAGCAAGACTTGTCGAAAACAGCTGAGCTGACCAGTCTCTAATTTATGGAAAATATTCTTAATTTTCTTTTAGAAATTGATCGAAAGATCAATAACTCCCTAAATCGTTCATATTTTTATAAACAACTAGAAGACCCGGTAAACTTCATATCATCTACATGTATTTGTGAAATGTATGGTCAAAACTTAATACCAAACGTTTATTTACATTAAAGGGACCCCCGGTGGTCTAGAGGCCTAAAATTTGAGATTATTTTAAAAAATTTTACTTCTATATAAAGGTAATGACTAATGCTTTCAAATTTTTTTAACACTGATTTTATTACCTATCAACTACACAAAAATTAAAATTAACACAAAAATAGATATTTATATGTCATAAGGCCGTGAAGTGGCGGTTTTCTGACAGCGACGATATTTCGATATGAGCTTGAGGTTTGTGGCGGAAAGGTTCGAAACGGGCATAATTTTAACGTCCGAGGCGTAGCCGAGGACGGAAATTTACGCTCGTTTTCGAACATTCGCGTCACAAACATTAAAGCGAACATCGAAAAAAAGTCGTTGTCAAAATCGTCACTAAACGGCCGAATGACATACAATATTGTTTGTTATTATCGCTCCATAAGTTTAACTTTTGAGGGATAGGAGGCAAATAATGGCGTATTAAAATTTTATGAAGTTTCACAAGGGCAAAAAAAATCAATTTTATATTAATTATCTTTTTATTGATCTTAAAATCTTGCTCACGTCCAGAAAATGTAAATAACTTTTTATTAGTATTTATTTATGGCGTTGTTATTTTATTAATATTAGGTCCGCTTCGTAATAAACTGCCAGCAGAAAAATAATTAGCGCCACTCAATAGTAACTAAGTTCAACATTGGCGAAAAATTATCGGTCGGTACGATAGAATGTGACTTTTTTTTTACAATATCTCTCAATTTCGTCTGGGTGTACACGAAAAGCTCGTAAAAAAACGGAGGAGGTAAAACTTCACGGCCTAGGCCGTGAAAAAAAGAGCTCACGAAAGTTAGGCCCCCAGATTTTTTTTTCTTTTATTTTTTAATTTTTTTTTTATTACATCGTTAGTTCGTCATTTGTTCTTTATTGTTCTCTATAAACATTTGTTTGTTCTCGACTTATTTATTTAAAAAAAATTTATTAAAAATGTGCCCTTAAGTTAGCCCCCCCTATCGCATTTTTTAATATTTTTTCAGCAATACGGGTCAATAAACCTCTGTTTATGATTGTTCATGTATAAAAAACGTTTGTTCCCATTTGACATTGTTTATTTTTTAATTAATTAATTATTTTTAATTACTTGAATATTTGTATTCTAAATACTTGCACTGCGCATGCGTCAACTTTACGTTTAGACTTTTAGCGCGGTCTTTTTGAAAATTATAATGACAAGCACAGTCATTAAATTGAAGTTACAGGATATATTTTTATAAGTATATCATTATAAACAATTGTGATTTATAAGCTAAAAATAATTATTATGAATTTTAATTAATACAAATCTTGAATATAAAATTCTTTGATAAATTAATATCAGTCAACAATATTTTGAGTGTATTTTTCAATTTTCTTAGCGGGAAGTTACAAGAAACATTGATTTTTTTGTTAAATAAATTGATTTATTAAATTTTTTGTTCGATTCAACATAAATAAAAATTTCCAAGAGGTTAACTTTGAATCATGGACCACCAATAATGATTGTTTGTAAGAATTATACACAGAAAAAAAAAATTCTGGGGGGCTAACTTCGGTGAGCCGAAAAAAAGACGGTATGGTCGAGTCTCTAGAAAAGAGTCTCTTTACGGACGCCACCCAGCGCTCAGAAGTTGAACTTCTGGCGCGAGTATAACAAAAACATTTTTTTTTTAATTAGAAATATGGCGCTAAAGTTCCTCTCTCCAAAAAAAATGTGCACTAGTCAGGTCCATTTTTTTTGGAGAAAACAATTCATTTGAATGAAATGAGGCTCGTTAACTATAAATAAATCTCTTATTTAAATATCACAAGAAATATTTATTTGATACAAATAAATTGATTTATTTGAGACAAAGTTGTATTTTAGTATATTGTAGTATATTTGTATTATAGTATTATTGTAGTATATTTGAATGAAATCCATATTTGTTTATAGTTAACAAATATTTCTTTGGTGGTAACAATCGTATATTTCAACCAAATTAGATTTGTTAACTATAAATAAATGGTATGTTAGAATATACTCAAAGCAATGATTTTTAGTTTTAGGTGAGGAAAGTTGTAAAAGTGGACATATCGAACGTTTGGGGTAAAATGGGCACTTCTTATGGAATTATTAATTATATTGAAATTAACAATGACAATAAAGTTAGTCGACATCTAAAAATTTTTAGAATTTTTTTTATTGAAAAAAATTTTACAAAAAAATTTTTTTTTATATTTCATTTGTAAAAAATTCGAAAAACTGTAAGTGGAATTGAAAAAATAGATATTTATGTCATAAGGCCGTGAAGTGGCGGTTTTCTGACAGCGACGATATTTCGATATGAGCTTAAGGTTTGTGGCGGGAATGTTCGAAACGGGCGTAATTTTAACGTCCGAGGCGTAGCCGAGGACGAAAATTTACGCTCGTTTTCGAACATTCGCGTCACAAACATTAAAGCGAACATCGAAAAAAAGTCGTTGTCAAAATCGTCACTAAACGGCCGAATGACATACAATATTTTTTGTTATTATCGCTCCATAAGTTTAACTTTTGAGGGATAGGAAGAAAATAATGATATATTTAAATTTTAGGAAGTTTCACAAGGCCAAAAAAAATTAATTTTATTAGAATTTATTTATGGCGTTGTTGTTATTTTATTAATATTAGGTCCGCTTCGTAATAAACTGCCAGCAGAAAAATAATTAGCGCCACTTAATGGTAACTAAGACTAAAAATTATCGGTCAGTACGCTAGAATGTGACTTTTTTTTTTTACAAACTCTCTCAATTTCGTCTGGGTGTACATGAAAAGTTCGTAAAAAAAAGGAGGGGGTAAAACTTCACGGCCTAGGCCCGTGAAAAAAAGATGGTATGGTAGAGTCTCTAGAAAAGAGTCCCTTTATGGACGCCACCCAGCGCTCAGAAGTTGAACTTCTGGAGCGAGTATAACGAAAAATATTATTTAGTTCTAATTTAACACTTTAAGCAAAATAAAAAAATAAAAAATGTCGACTAACTTTATTATTATAAATTAACAGACATCTGTAAATTTTTTCGACTTTTATAACAATAAAATTATTATGAAAAAATTTCACATGTTAAAATTAATAAAAATTATACGTGAAAATGTTTAGAAGCATTTTTTTATTGTAATTGATTTGTTATTAAAATTTTTAAAATTGACAGCTGACGGCCAACTTCAGTATCATAGTAATCATAGTATTTTTATTAGTATCGTAAGTAATAGTATTATATTTTTTTACGAAAATAAACTAATATTGTTATAAAATATACAAATTTTATATTCAATAACACAATTAAAAATTTTCTGTAAAAAAATTATTACTAAACGACACGGATTTTAGGTTAAGAAATTTGTTTTTTCGTTCCAATAAGTGCATGAAATATAAAAAAAAAATTTAATGAAAAAAAAGTCATAACCGGAAAAAATAAAATTTATTTAAGATCAATAGGTAAATTAATATTTATAATAAAATAAATATAAAAGAAACAGTGGTTGGTCACAAAAAAGTCAAATGTAAACAATACACTCTTACATTCAAAAATAGCGACACCAAGCGTAATTTACTTGAAGTGAGATTTGTTAATTGTTAACAAATCTTTATTTGAATGAAATAAATGAGTCAATTCAATTAAATAAACCAAAACAAAGTAGTATTTGACTCAAAATAATATATATTTAAATAAAAGAAATTTGTTAACATTAAATAAATATTTTTGATTCATTTCAAATAAATCTGTGCATTTGAGTCAAACAAATCGTTTTCTCAGTGTGGGTATAGTGATTTATCTCTCCCTTTGATCTGAAAAAAAAAAAAATGACGGATTTTTAATTAGTATAAGTATAGTTATCGCAGGAACTAGAATGAAAAAAAAAATATTTGACAAAATGGTGCGTACTTAAAAGTATGAATCTGAAACTTGTTTTCATAAAATACTTTTAACTACGCGCTTAATAATTTTAATTTGTTATGAAATTTAATTTTTAGACATTTTTTATACGATTTTGTGAATTTTTCACCGCAACATTTTTGAGTACGCTTTTTTTAAATTGATTTTGAAATTGTTGAAAAATTATTATTCGACAATTTTAAGACTTTTCTAAGACGTTC